GAGAAGATTATTAGCCATATAGCTTGATATTACAGGTGAGAAATACATGGAAAAACAGATTTAAAGAAACCCTGACATGAGACTCAATTAAGCCAAATAATCCAAAAATATTTAAGGATGAACCTGGAAGGAAGACAACAGAAATATTTCAAAATTTTTACAGCCAATTATTTTCTTCATCAATGACAATACAGTATTAAATGCATGAGGAAGGAGAATCTCAGATATTATTATTACTGAAAAAGTGAACAAGAAATGTTAATAACTGTCAACCCATAAGCCTACCTTATCATCTTCACAAAGTTAATGAAAAAGCTTACAAACAAATCTCTGTGATAGAACACATCTTCTGAACAATGCAATTGACTGAAAAGTATAGAGAATATAATATCCCAATAACCTTACAGTACTTAAAAAAAACCTGATTTCATAGAGCATATTTGATATTAAAATCTCTGTTATAATGTCTTTCATGTATACAGTATGTTAAGGTGATATAAAATTCCTTGATAGAAGATATAACTTTATTTGAGGACCTTTTGCTTATTAATATCAACTGAGGCCCAAAAAAGACAGACTCATGATCACACACAAAAAAATCATCTGTCATGGAGTATAACTGTCAGGGAGTATTTCCAGTGCAGTGTCAAACAGAAAGAGATACTTCCTGTAAACAGAGAAGTCCTTCATTTGTATGTAACTTAACATTTGGCTGATTTTTTCAAACTGTGGAACATTGCATAGCCTTTTCAATTAGTTCCATAAACAGTAAGCCAATTAGAAATTACTAAGCATTTACAGGCATTGTGATAAGTGCTGGCAATACCAGGAAAGATAAAAATAGTCCTTTCCCTCACAGATCTCCTATTCTAAATAGAGAAGAAAACATGGAATTATCTAGTACATAAAAGATATATACAGAATAAATGGAGGTATTTTCATAGGAGAAGGAGCCAGCAACTGGGGGAACTAGAAAGGTCTAAGCCAGGCGTGGGGAACCTGAGGACTCAAGGCCACGCATGGACTTCTAGGTCCTTGGGTGTGGCCTTTTGACTAAGTCCAATTTTTACAAAACAAATTTGTTCTGGGAAGTTTGGATTCAGTATAGAGGGCCACATGTGACCTGGAGATGACAAGTTCCTCCCCCCATCTAGGCAAGGTGAGGGGGAAGAGACTTCCAGGCAAAGATGACAGCCACTGCAAAGAGAGGAAGACAAGGAGTGATGTGGACAAGGAACAACAAGGAGGCATGAGTCGTAGAATCACAGCCTCATGATATAGTTTCAAATGTGGTACTGCTAAACCTTCAGCATATGGCAAGGAGTAAAGTATAGGAAGAATAGAAAATATAAGAAGGTTTCAGATTGTGAAGAGTTTTAAGTGTCAAATAGAGGGCTTTGACTTGATGATGGAGATAACTACAAGCCACTGAAGCTCCCTGAGGAGGAGGTGATATGGTCACATAGATACTGTAAGAAAATCACATAAGTATCATTTCAGTGAAGGATAAACTGGAGTGAGGAAGGACTTGAGGCAGAAAGATGAACCAGAAGGTTATTGCAATAGTAAAGGTCAAAGTTGCCTGAAGCCTGAACTAAGGTGGCAGCTGTGTGACTATAGAGAAGGAGATGTATACAAAAGATTGTGAAGACAGAAATGACAATATACCTTAGTTAAATATATGGAATGAGTGACAGTGAGGAGTAGAGGACGACACTGAGGTTGTGAGCTTATGTAACTGGGATGATTGTAGTGCCATCGACACTAATAAGGAAATTTGGAAGAGGTAAGGGTTTGGGGAAAAGATAATGAATTCTGTTTGGTTATATTCAATTTGAGGTACTTATAAATATCCATAGATACTCAAATGGAAGTTTATGAATATGAAACTACAGATCCAAAGAGACACTATGTCTATTAATAAATATATATGTATATACATATATACATACGTGTGTGTATGTGAGTACGACTTGTCTGAATAGAGATGATAATTGAACCCATGAAAGCCAATGAGATCACCTATGGGAGATCCTATAGAGGAAAATGAGAATAGGGTTGGAACTTTGAATGGAACATTGTGAAGGATTTACAGTGAACATAGACAAGGATTATACAGGATGAGAAGGCATGAGTGGGTTATGATTTCAACAGCTGGACAGAGTATTCATACCTATAAGATCACAAAACCCTAGAAGTACTGAAATATTGTTGCATAGAATTACTTCAAAATAAAAATAAAAGCCAATCAACAACAACAACAAAATCCTCTATCTTCTCTTCTATAAGAATATCAGACTGGAAGTAGGACCTAAATTATCACTTTTCAGAAAATTATTACCTTACCAGCTCTGTTTCCTTATTTTGCATGTTGTTTGTTTTATTATATATAAATGTTTTACTTCCCTTTATTAATATTTTATTAAATATTACTTATGTTATTTTAAAAATGATTTTTAAATGACACTCTTAGGCAAGGTCTCACCAGTCAGCCCTATCAGTTCACTAATTTCTATCATGTTATTTAAAAATTACAAAATGTTTATAATAGTTATAAAATTTTCTAGAAGCATTACTTCTGAAAAACTCAGGGCCTTGTGATCTCCAATTCAGTCTATAATTTCTGTGGAAATCTGACCTTAATCCACCATAAACAAAATTTAAATTTCTTGGAGAATAGCTCCATACCAGTGAATTTCTACATTACTTCTGTATTCTAGGAATAACAGAGTATGGCTGAGTATTTCTTTAATGAAGGTACGGAAGAAGACAGAGGAAAATAATTCCAGTTCAATTACATTTCTTACACTTATTATTGTTGTAACATTACATTAAATCTCTTCAATTTTCTACTCAAGGCAATTTTATTCCCATTATTTTATCTGTATTTTAACACTGAATGATACTCCTACACTGTAGCATTCCTAAAGACCCCAAACATTTGGTTGGTTAGAATAATACTAAATACAAATTCCTCTAAACAGAAGATATGTAATATGTGGTCACACAAAGTCAGCTTTCAATGACCACTAATTTTACATAGTACAAGACAAAGTTGTACTTTACTAGTTATATGCTAAAGCCTATTTTTAGGATATTGTAGCTGACTAAAGATATTTAAGGCCAAACTTGTGCTTCTCAGAGCACTCAAGGATGGAAATTTGCACACAGACTTTGAATAGCTATATTTTTACTATTCGATTTATTTAAAAATTATTGGTTACCCCAGTGCTTTTGTCATTTTGGACTTCAAGCTGCTAAGTATCCTTAGGGAATATTACCAGATATTACTCAGTTTTCAAAGTGAATGAAAAGAGGGGCTTGCTCTCCTGCATATATATTCACAAAATATAACTTTAACCCTCTGTATGTAACAGGAATACTAAAGCAACTGAAAAATTTCTACCCTTTCCTTAAGTCATACAATGTCATAATCCCTTGGAGCAGAGAGCCTTTCTTTAGGGATCTATACAGGCCTTTACAGTCATATAATAGCAAATCCCCTGGCTGCCACAGGAACTAGGCTCCTTTAATGTCTTGCATTGAAGTACATGATCATTCTGAAGCACAAAACCTAAAATTTATGAAGTTTACAATTGCATTATTTGTGCTATATAAACTACTTCCTTCAGGTACATACATATTCACCATGAGACTTGAACGAGATTTCTTAGTACTGACCTTCACTATAAGGAAATGTTCTGTTTTCCAGATCGCTTTAATTCTATCTCTCTTCTCCCTAACATTTTACTTCCATTTCTCCACATTTTCCCTCTTTTCAAAATTTAACCTCCCTCCCACAGTAACAACTGCAGATTTTGATAGCTGCAAGAAGCAACTGAATTCAACTCATTCACAAAAGAATACTCATTATAACATATACAACAAGTGTTGTTCTAGCTTTTGCTTGAAAAGTTCCAGGGACAAAAGGGTGAGAAAGGAGATCCTGTCAGCTCTTTAAGCATCCCATTCCCTGTTTTTCTTGACACAAAGCCTAAATTAGACTCTTTGAAATTGCTACCTGAGTTCTGAACTTTGGGGCCCAAATTCTCATCTCCTCACATGATGATCCCTCAATGATCCCTGAAACTTAATTACTACATATTACTCAAGACTCAACTAGGAAAATTCAAAAGGTATATCAACTTTTATAGCACTTCTGCCCCCCGCTTCATGTTTGTTTGCTTCATAATCAATGCCTAATCATAAATGGGAATGTTTGCCTGGTTTCTGATCACTCAATTAAGCCCTGACAACTTTAAAACCAAAATATGTCTTATGAACACAAATAAATTTCTATTTAACTACAGTATATAAAATATTAAATAGTTACAAAAAGTCCATATTGTATGCAAATTAAATATAAGAAGAAATGTCTTAATTTTTGTTTTCTTACAGATGAACAGAATATACAACTCCTTTAGATTTTCCATCCCTCTATTTTCCCATTACTAGACATAAAATTCATTTTTAAAAAGATATGGTAGCTAAAATGGTCACCCCAAACCCAAATATAAAATCATAAAATTTTAGACCAAGAAGGAACCTAAGAGATAAACTAATCCAACTCCCTCATTTTATAAATGAGAAAAATAATCACAAAAGAGATTTGGGTGACTTGCCCATAGTTCTACAGGCAGAGCCTGAATTGATTAGTCTGACTTTAAATTCAGTCCTTTTTCCACCTAACCAAACTACTCTCTCAAATATTTGATAAATGTGTAGGCCAAAAATTATAAATGCCAAAGTTACAGAATATAAAGCAAGTTTTTAAAGTTTCAGGTTCTTTTAATCAGGGATCTCAGGTTAAATCTGAAACACAACGTCAGTTAAATAGCATAACCATTACCTAATTTATCAGTCATTCAAATTGCAGACAAGCCAAAAAAATATTTTCTACAATTTGTGAACTAACCTTAGCAATCCTGGTACTTTCTTATTAGATTAAATGTTTACAATCTATGACAAAAATAATTAATAATTTTAAAAGATGTCTTTACCAAAGACGGTCAGTTCTGCTGGATCACTGTCTCTTTCTCCCACCATATTTGTGCCAACACAGGTATACATGCCTGCGTCACTCTTTCTAGTATTTGAAATCATCAGTTTTCCACCACGGATCTGTTTCAAATAAAATATTCATATTTATAGAAATATATTAAAATCCTTACATCATATTCAAATCATTATCAGCATATTATTTTTGCTTTTTAAGATCAAATATGGAGGTGAGTCAGTCATATGCTAAGGATGACAGAGAACACTTGGAGAGTCTGAGTGCCGAACAAGAGGATCCTCTATAGAAAGATCCTTTGGGCAGATCCTTTAAGAAAATTTATGGGGAAATACAGATATCTTACTTTTCACTGCCCAGTCTTCATATGAATCAGGAATAATTCAAAATGTATATTAGAAATGCACCAAAGGACAAAATTACAAAATACATCTTACCTGTGTGTTCAAGTGCCTTGGAATAGACCCTCTATAGTTAGAACCCACATCTAGACTTTCTCCCACTTAACTTGATGCCTAAATAAACTCTTATCAGCTATCCCAATTACTCTTTATTTCTGTATGTCCACTAAGTATCTTCTCTATAGCCTCTCTACATCATACACTGTAATTTCCCAGGAAATATTATTTATTAATATTTTATCAAGCACTCTTGTATGATTGCGAACCATTTTTTTCTATATTCCACATTTACTGGGAACCAAACTCCCTTTAGCAATGTAGATTCCATCAACGTAGACAGCCAGAGTAAGAATACTAAGCTTTATTATCTTTATGGTTCCTGGATCTGATTCAGTCATATGGTCATAACCTACGTATAAGAAAAATCTGCCTGTTAAAAAATGAAAGATGACCATGCCATAGGCCCAGTGACATGGCTGAGTGCTTATATCTGATCCCCAAATTCAATCAAAGGAAAAGATTAAGTTAGATGAAATTCCACTTTAAAGCATAAGATTTATACTAAATAGTGTCTAATAACACTGTTTTCAGGAAATCTTCAGGTGAGTCAACTCAATAAAATACAATAAATGATTTGGACCTGGTCAGTCTTTTTTTCATTTTACAAATATGGATTTTTCTCATGCATAAAAAATAGCTAAGTAGTTAAAACAGAAATTTTTAAAAATATTTGAAATATTTTATTTTAATTTATTTACATAAAAATGCCATAAAAATTTATCTGGAAAAATTAATTTAAGAAAAAAATGACTGAAAGTTTCTTCATCATAAATGTTAACATTTTATAAGGCACAGAGTAGTTTAACGGAGAGAGGACCAACTTTGGAGTTAGGAATACCTAGCTGTAAGTATTATCTCTGCTACATATAAGCTGTGTGACACTGTGTAGGTCACTCATTTCTCAGTGCCCCTGCAATTCTTTAAGACCATAAAGATGAGTTGTAAATCTGTATCAGAGAATGAAGTTTAGAGATAAAGTACTCCCCACACTGATAAAATAACAGGTCCAAACTAAAACAAATAATTTTCTAACAATTTTTTTTCAGTTCATGTACTTTCTAAATATTTCTCACTTCTTAATTGGTAAGGAATGATTTGCCATTGAAATTTTAAAAGGAATATGGAGATTCATGTTGATTTTATACACATAATGAAAAGTAATTTGTTAGAGATAAGTTCTGGTATACAACATTTGTCTTTATACAATCTAGATATACATTAGCTATAAACTGTCATTTCAGCTTGACTCACACTTATTCTCTCTTCTCTGTCATCAATTCGAACTTTGTCTTTCTTCCAATAGATGGTGGGCTCTGGATGTCCTCGGGGAGGCTGGCATTCCAAGATGGCAGGCTCTCCGGCTGCCACAACAACATCTGTTGGATTTTGCCGGAAGTCATCTCTTAATACTGAGGAAAGAAAATGAATTTTCTTGTTTGCAAAAATCTGATTGACAGTGATTTTTCACATGCTGAGGCATAAGCAGAATGTGTTTATTGAGTTATTTTATTTATCAGAAAAGTTTCCAGGTGATTATCATTAGCAAATCATTGCTCTGGCTGTTAACATTAGAAAAAACTCCAGAAAACATTTTAATTATGTTTTAAAACTCAGAGTGGAGGCAAGCATCAAGAGAGCTCTATGAGGCACCTTTCTTATGACATGAATACAGATGGGATAGGTGTTATTTTCATTGAACTTCTGAAGGTAGATTAATTGTTCACCATTTTAACATACTAGCACCCACATATACAGGCCTTCATTTTCATCCATTCTGTAATTCCACCTGCCAAGTGACATCTGGACAGCGTGACATGCAGAGGAGGGATATCCCTTATAGCAGTTTTGTCAGGCTGACATTTCCCTCTTTTCATTAAGGAGAACAGCAGGTTGGACCTCAGTTGTAACCTCTGAAAATCTGGCATGCCTGACTCTCCAACTGTCACCTACATCTTTTCAGGTTTCCTTTTTTCTTTTTTTCTTCTGGGCAGGTGAACTGCCTGAAAAAGTGATTCATTCCTTACTGGATTGAAGATTTGCAATTTTATTAGGCAAGTAGTAATTTTATTTAAAAAAGATCTAAATTTTAAAATTAACAGTTATGAAAGGTAGTCAAGTTAATAGGCCTAATGTCATGACTGTATCTATTTTTCCCTATTTGCTAATATTCTTCTAGCCTTGACAAGTTTGGTATTCCAGTGGATAAAGGGGGGGGGGAAATTGCTCATGACTGATAAAAGCTGTCTGGAAACAAAATTAAGCAAAGAATTAGTTTATTAAGTAAATTATACTCATGTAAATTGGGACTTAGGTAAATTAACTAGCTTCAGTGTCCTATAATGATATCTATTTCCTCTGATCCCTACTCACTGGTCTAAGTCTCTGGGTTAATTGACATTCTCCAAATAAATAAATGTTCATCTCCTGAAAATAGCTCCAGAGAGACAATTGAGAATTTTAGGGTTTTCTCCTTCTTGCCTTTCTGCTACATATCCTTTAACAGAGTTTTCCATCTTAATGAAGTCATAACCCTTTTAAAGATTAGAAAGTCTCCCACTGAAGGAACAATCAAGAAAACTTTAGCACAAATTAGTCTCTCTCATCATATAAATAGAGTTAATTTACTGCTTTTGAAGCTAAAACATATTAAAGCTTAACACTCAGAAATACTGATTTTCTGTCCTCTCAACTTCTAGGCAAGAATGTGTGATTGATATACATAAAAGTTTGTTTCTAAATGGGCTGAGACATGTGTACATTTAAATGTGATATTCAGTTGTGGGGTTATAATGTGTTTGTCAATCAGGTAAATTCTCTATGCTTTGGTGATTAATTTGTGTTCTAATACCTAAACAGCTGCCTATTTATGCAATGCTAAAAAGTGCAAAAACATGGTAACAGGGTGATGAGTACTCTTACAATATCTGAGACTGGCAACAAATGGTGTTTTGGCAGGGACCCAAATTGTTCCAAAATGGCACATCTGGCAAGTTGAAACTGTCTTTAGAATTGGTTTCCTAACAAAAACATGCCAAAAAGCAACTCAAAAGCTACTTATAATTAATACAAATCATTCTTATGTACAATTCCATTTTGACCACAACAATACAAATTACTGAAAATAGCATCTTTTGACTTAGGAAACAAAGATAAAAACAAATAACATGGAAAACTATAGCAGCACAACAAGATGGAAGGCATGGGTTGCTACTGTTTAGCAATAGAACATATGTTTGTGGCAATTACGGAAAAAAGATTTCCATTTGCAAATGAAGCCAAGAAAACCAACATCCACAGTAATTTCATGCTTGCAGACTACTCATGTCTGAAGTAGAGGGTAGACAATGATACAGCTAAGGACTACATACTTCCACAATTCATAAAATACTCTAGCGCTTGCATGGGTGTTTAGAAATTTACTTTTATTTGTCACTTCATATCATTCTCTTTATTTCAGGTTATCTAGAGAGACAAAACCCAAAATAAATGCATAAATAGATAAATGAAAAACATCAATTTAAAGTTGCCATAAGAATGATAAAATCTTCTAGAAATGTTAATACAAAAATACCCATACGTGGGCCAAACTAAGATTTGTCAGCCATGACTGTGACAGGTCGACTAACCTTGAACTTCTCCAGTGCTTTTTACAATATCTGGTCTCTGTGGTTTTATAATCCTTTTTCCTATGTGTATACAGATATGATTTTACTTTTTAAAGTTTTGTAACCACAAGTTTTATTCTTTACTCTGAGAAATATTAATAAATCAGTACTTACTATAATCAATCATTATAAATTAATGCTTACTATAGGATACATACATGTATAGACACATTTGTATACCTGCATATTAATAAATGAAGGGTATGCCTCCTTTCAAGGTTCTTTGTGTATGTAAATTTTCTTTCTCTTACCCTATGGAATTAGTGTTAGCTTTTCACAGATATTAACTCAGAAGAAAAGCATTTTGTAAGGCCTTTGATTTCTCACTTGTAAGAACAAACCAAGGTTATTCTCCTGACACTAGCCAGATAATTGGCATATATCCTGTAAGTGTTAATTGTGCCTTGCCTTTTGCTTTTATACCTAACACCAGCCAAGAATGTCTCCCCATCCATTCCTCAAAAGCCTTATATCTGGAATTATAGATAAAATCCTTCACCTCTCCCTTGCTAGCTAACATTAAGTAAATTAGAAAACATTGTGTAAGTTTTTGCCTTATCTAACCTGGAACCAGTATTCCACGTTACTTTTTAGACATTTCCAATCCATGTCACCTATAGTCTAAACACCTTCCTTTTACTCCTCATCCTCCTCCCACCAGAACCTTAGACTCCATTCCTGGAGCCCTGAGCCCTGATAGGTTAGATTTTGCTGTATCTTCTCTAGAACCAAGACTCTAAGTCACTTTTCAGTCATTTTAAAAACCATGCTGCTGCAGTTGTCCCTCTTTCTTCCTCCCCTACACCCCCCCCACTCCCTTAATTATCTCTTATTGGTGTCTTAAGCTCCTTGAGGTTAGGGACTGTCTTGCTTACTTTTACTTGTATCTCCATCACAGTGCCCATCATATATAATGTCCCTCAATCCATTACTAGTGGTAGATAACATCTTGTTCCCCACAATTACCATCTTGGAAGCCCTGAAAAGTAGGAATCATTTCTAGCACATGACACATTTGTATGACTAGGCACATCACACACACACGCACACACACACACACACACACACACACACACACACACACATATACTGAATGGTCTGGTTAGCCTTGAGGGCAGAAGCTTTTTCATTCTTTACCTTGATACCACTAGAAACTTTGGGCATAACAAGCATTTAATAAATGTTTGTTGAATGGAACTACATTGAACAAATTTGAGCTGGAGTAGGAATAAATTCACCCACTGAAAGTATGTGCCATCATTCAGTCCCAATTATGAACAATAGTTAACAGATGTGGTAAGTGTGAGAGTCAAAAATACTTTCAGAACAAGTTCTTTTCTTAGCCTGTCACTGAGTATCAACTTCCTTGAGTCTTTTCCCTGATTTTCACTTTGTTTTCCTTCTTTTCCCCATTCTTATTCTTATACTTCTTTTCTTTACTAAATCTCTCCCATGCACACTAATGTTATTACTAATAAAATAAAGATCATAGAACCAGTTGTGTAATGTAATTCAGGACAAGAGAGAAGAAAAGCCTTGATCTTGTTACTACGGTATTATACTCAGTGTCTTTGGAAGCATGTACTTCATAAGAAGAATGGAATGTTGTGCAACAAGAAATTATAGTAATCTAGACCCTAGAAAACTTCCAAGTCTTCCAAAAGCTCCCATTTGTGGATCGCATTACAATGATTTCATCAAGCCCCAGAACACTAAAGTGTCCATATCAGTGATATCCACAGCCACTTGAAAGAGATCAGCCCTGCAATTCATGAAGAAAAAAAAAATGAAAGATGCATATTTTCTGGATTATGAAATGCAGTTGGAAAGGAAATAATTAGAAGTTAGTTCACTTAGTGTGTATCTTAGACAAGCCATGCAGATGGAAAATGATCTAAGTTCAGAAATTAATCAGTAGAGTATAATCATTTCTCCCTTCTTTCTGAGAGCTTAAGTACCCTGTCAGAAATACTGGCGAAATCAGCTAGCTCCTCACTCCAGTTCTTTACACTGGACACATGACCATCTGTGTTTCACAGTACCCCAGTTTCTCAATATTTAGAAAGATTAACATAAAGCTGTTATGCAGATGAATTGGAAAGGGAAAAGTTGAAAGGCATGGAAGCAAATAAGAAGGCTATTCAAGTAATCTTGATGTAAGTTGATGAAGGCCAGAAGTAGAATGGTGGTAATACTGCAATGGGGAAACTTTGAAGTGTTTTCAATAATCCCAGGATTGATTCATGTTTAATAAATCCATCTTTTAAACACTGATATTCTTCTAGTGAGCTTTATAACCGTGAATCATGGAAAGCTATGATTTTTTAAGAATCAAAATCACAGGCTCCAAAGGGGCAATAGAAACACTATGATGGGTAAAATCAGTTTGCAATGTGTTACCAATTATGAATTATGATCAAACATGAAAGGTAAGGTGAAGATATATAGGACCAAAAAAAAAAAAAGGCCAGTCATATGGACAGAGATGGATGGCCAAGTACTGAATTTTGATAACCATGAAATACCAAAAAACCCAGAGAAAAGATTCCATAATGTCAGCTATGTAATCTATAGGAGATTTGCTAAGAAATGATGTACACAAGAGTAACAAAGGATGAGAAGGCACAGACAGATTATGAGTTCCATTAGGTTATGGATTAGCCACCTGGATGAGATCACAAATCCATGAAAGTACCTGAGTAATCTATTCCCTTCTACAAACAGATTGAAAAAACATAAAGGCA